TATGTATGGCAGTTTTGCTTAAGGTTTGACTACACCAACACCCTGTTTGTCAGCCTTCCCAATTCTTCCTTCCACAAGCTGCAGATTATTCATAACTCTGCAGCTTGTGTCTTCTCCCACACCAGGCTCTGTGATCCCATCACCCCTACCCTCGCCTGGCTTCACTGGCTCCCCATCCCTCAGAGGACTGAGTTCAAAATTCTTGTCGTCACCTTCAAAGCCCTCCACGGGCTCAGTCCTTATACTTCTCCGGCCTGCTCACCCCTTATCAACCTGTCCGTTCCTTCCGCTCCACACCGTATTTATGGCATGTTAAATGGTTTGTGAGTGGTATCACTGAAATCTACATTCCATATTGGATCTTTTGGTTACAAGTGTAGCTGCAACAGCTACTGCTAGTTTTTAATATAGTGCCTTATCAGGTCATTGAGACATCTCAAAGCGCTTCACAGAATCTTCTATCCATCTTCTTCTACCTATATATATATATAGAGAGAGAGAGAGAGGGAGACACTAACAAAATGACAATGTCTGTCTGTGCTTCAAGAAGGTTCTAAATAACCGAATGACATAGAGACATGATTTATACCTCATCGTAAAGGTCTTGCACCTAGGAGTGATGTGGGCATATTTATTTTTGGATATCTCCTCTCGTTCAGCATCAAAGTGGCGCTATGGCATAGTGCGTAACAGAGTACCTACGTATGTACGCACGCACTGCAATTACACCTGGTGGCCGCACCAGCTGACCGTGGTGCTGTACATCCTGCAGCACAGAGCACGCACGTAGCCAAGCGGTAGCGGGAATAAAATAAAGAACACAGATGAAGCTAAGCCGCGGCAACAACAACAAAATTATTTTAAAGCGCCTTTCACGTCGGGAGGACGTCCCAGTGAATCTCGATAATACACTTATATTTATCATTATAAAGCTGCCTAAGCGAAAATCAAACCTTTCAAGGTTAAGTAAAAATGCTAGACAAAAGAGAGAAGCCCATTACATGAAACTGAAGAAAAAAGAACAGAGCAGCTGCACTTCAATGCTAAAAGGGCTGCAACAGCGTGGCAAAATGAGTTGCCCACTCAAAGAACAGCACGGCCAAAATAAGTCCTCCCAAAGGAGTCCTCCCAGATGAGTATAGATAAAGATGAAATATCTGTCTGTGTGTCTCTGTGTGTGTTAATCTACATTCCATATTGGATCCTTTGGTTGCAAGCGAAGCTGTAATGGGTAGAGGTAGTGAATATAAAGTGGATGACTGTGTATTTTGTGGATAAAATGAGGCTGCCAGTTTGCACTCAGCAGTGTTCCACAGACAGCCATGGAGTGATTAGCTAATTTTATTTGTGGGATTTGTTGGCCAGGATACCAGGAGAAACTCCCTTCTCTTTTCCAATAGTGATAATAATAATGCTTGCATTTGATATAGCACCTTATCATGTCTTCTAGACATCTCAAAGCGAGCGCTTCATGGAATATACTCTAAAGTGAATTGACTGTATGTTTTGTGGGTGAAACATTTCACTCTGCCATGGGATCTTTAATATCCACCTGAACAGGCAGACAGAACCTTGGTTTAAAGTCTCATCTGAAAGTTAAGCATCGAAAAGATGATCACAGAGTTTTAAATTTAACAAAGCAGTTTTGAATTTCAGGAAGTAGTTCAATCTTGAGAATTCTTCTGATGTTCCTAAGCAGTTTGAAGTTTACAAATCCACCACCTTGCAACATACTGAAGGCCATCTGTTCTCACGTTAGAAAGCTCACATCTATAAACTGCGCAATTGTGAAATTACATGAACTCAACTTAACATGTGTTTATTGATTATTCAGAAGCAGTAGTTTGCACCCCAGGAGCATGCCAGCTCTCGGTGATTTAGTTTATCCAAAACAATTGCTGCAATGAAGCGCTGCTTATGTAGCTACAGTACTGAAAATGTCATAATTTTCAACCAATGACATAACATTGTAAACTGCCGTTGCCAGTATTGAGGCCACTGTCCTACACTGTTGAGAAATAGAAAAAGAAAATGATACATTGATGTCTGTGTTAATACTGCACACTGTATCTTGCCAAACTAAATACATTTGACAACATGACAAAACCAGCTTTAAAACGCATAATGTCACTTAATACCCAGAACTCTGGTAAAAATGCTCCACATTAAATGTCACAGAATCATGACACATTTGCAGCACAGAAGGAGGTCAGTCAGTTATGTGCTGGTGATGGCTCCCCTCTCCCATTGCACTAATCTAATGCCGGTCTTTTGTTATTTCTCCAAAAAGATGATGCATATACAATCCGTAGGATTAAGGATTAAGTCTCAAATTACTTAAAAAACTTAAAGCATACATTATTTTTTATCATAGAACATTTAGGGTTATAAAAAAAACTTATTCTCCAAACTAATTATCACCTAGCAAGATTTCAAAACATTTTTCACAGATATTCAGCTGCACTGCACGTTCCAATAACCATTAATTGTGGCGAATTTTTTTTACAAAAATGACTGCAAAATATTCATAGTCCCCATTTCTTCCTACTTCGGCCATCTACAGTATTCCTCTAAAGTCTGTTCCATACAACTCAAAAAAAGGCTTTGGCCTGATACTGTAAACAAGCACTGCAATTGTATTAATCCAGTTTATGAGGCTATAGATCAAGAAGGAAGAGATTTATGCACATTTAATGAGCATGAAAGGGAAGAAAGTCTTTTCAACAAAACCAATATTTTAGAAAACGCTGCATACCGAACATTTTTGCCATTGCTACAATCAATAGCTCGCAGCCTTGAAGGACAATAATGAAATCCCAGTCATGTGATTACATTCAGTGTACCATCAGTTTCTATACCAATAGAATACAGTAAATTCAGCAGCAGTGGCATATTCCACAATGAATTCTGAATGCTGAATCTCATTAGAACACCCTAGTGACATTATAGCATTGAGCACACTTCGGTTTGTTCGGCTGCTCATACGAAATGGTAAATTCGTCTGCGTCATCCACCTTAATTATTCATCCAGTACTTGTTTTCCATAGGGAACCTAAAGGTCGCTGTCTACATAGTATCACAGATATCACAGAGAAATACATGGGGCATGAAGAGTTGTGCAGAGGATTACAACCTAAACAGAAAAGAACAATGAAAAACAAACTGAATTGCTGGGTGGTGTTCAGAGCTTCTTAGTTTACCAAACTCAATCACTCTAATCTAAAATTTGGTCCTTGCAAACTGCACTCAGTTTGTCAAAATGATTAATTGACAGAACATTCTGAAGATGTTGAAATCGCACAAATCCTTTGCCTTGGAAAGTATTCAAGAGCGAGGGAGTTCGTAAACACGGTTCGCAATGTTCAACCGAATGCCATAGATAAAGGTTAATTGAGACAATAATTTTTCTTCTCATTTGCACAAAATGGCAGAATACCTCAGGGAGCTGCTAAGCAGACTGTACTTGTTACGATTAGCCTACTCTGCTAAAATTGCTAAGATTAACATTAAAGTGAAAAAGAGATTATAATTTCGTTTTAATGGGATCCCTTTTGGACCTTGCAGCTTATAAATTGAGCTACCATAATATTTGGAGAAATGCATCAGTTATTGTCATTTAATTCTCCAGTATGTACAAATCATCTTCTCTGTCAAAACACTTATTACGCCAGAGCCTTTTACGGTTACGACTAACAGCACTGCAGGCTTACTGCCTAAAAATAATAATTTTTTTGTGCGAGTGAATTTGAATCTTTAAATCCCACCTGAATGCTGCTTAAAAACAATTTGAGTTATAGTTTAAAAAAGTCCTGAAGTGGCCCCCTTAGTTGATCAAGTGAGTGCCTGAGACAGAGGGGAATTTGGTACTGCAGGACTCGCGGTCTGCGTTGAAGTGTTGATGTATGAACGAGGCTGAGATCAGGTTTGGCTGTTGGAACCCCACCTCTCTTCCCCATCCCTAGTCTTTGTCAACCGTTGTGCTGACATTCACCATCAAAGCTCCCACATGAATAATGGTCAATTGGACAAGACACCAGAAGCTAATTGGCACCCAGTGTAACTGTGTCCCTGCAGGCAGCAAGCAAAAGCAACAAGAAAACAGGAGAGCTGGAGAAAAGTGGAGAAATCTGCTTGGAAAATAAATTCCTAGAGGCTGGATCAAAAGGGTTAAAATCAGATCACCACTAAACCTGCAGGCAATGTTATCAGTGTGAAGCACTGAAGCTATCCACAGATTTTGTAAGATTTTGTGTGTACACTAAAACATCATGATTGCTTTGAGTCTCAATTTTCCACACATCACCCTCCCCGTGCCCACACACACAAAAATAATTTTCACCATTAAAAAACAAGAATTTCCATGTCCCCACCCGAAGGTAGATAACTATCAATCATTAAATCTCTCTCTCCCCCTGTCCCCCATAAAAAAAACAATTTGGACCTGAAAAGCAAGTAGTTAGACAGATCAAGTTGCTCACGACCTGAATTGGTGCTTAGATTGTTGCTAATAAGGAAGCTGGTGTGACTGTACCAATCCAGTCGTGAAAATATAGCACTGTAAGAAAGCACACGGTGTAACTCAGTGAGCAATACAGAGCAAAACAAACTTGCTTTTTAAAAAAATATTTTTTTCCCATCCAATGGAATGTGACAGTACGTTTTTGCAATAAGTGATCCAGAGTGAAAAATTAAAACTAATTTAACATGACTGGCGCTAGTGTCAAAGGGCTCTGTGCCACGCTTTCTGCTCGAGATTCCTCACCAGATTGTCAATGGCCCACAATCCTCAGAGCAGGCACGTCCCAAGGGAAGTGGGGGGAGTGGGGGAGAGGGGGCATGTAAAAAGGCAGATAGATCAGCCCTTCCCTACACATCCCGGGAGACAGTTTCAGGACATCACAGAGAGGTCAAAGGCTAATGAATGATTTGTGGTGAATGGAGAATGACAAAAGACAAGTAAAAGCGAGTCACAATATAATGTTGGCACTTTCAATACTTACAGTACGCAGCACATAATTAATGCCTTGCTATTGGTAGCATTCTTCCACAGGAAAATGTGTTTAAGCAAGCGTCAATTCCTCCTAAGTACATGTAATCCTTGTGGGGGTGTTCCTACTAAGACACTTCTGCTGCATAAGGAGGTCAGGTCACAACCAGCAATTTCATTGGTCTGTGCTGAACGAACTTCAGGAAGCCTGCAAGAAGAACGCTGTGTCTTGATTTGCATGCAACTGGGTACTTTTGCAGCAAAAAAAAAGCATTCGACAGAGAAGCTTGTGTAAAATCTGAAAAAACTCATGCCAGCCTCTGACAGCACCTGCTCCCACCTACAGCGAATGGCTTAGAGTTTGGGAATTGTCAGTCACTCAAAGCATAATTCACAGTTAGGATCAGCTGGGATCAGATTAGCCGGGCTGCTACAAAAGCAATGCTGTCTCACAGCAGTGGAATACTCCACCCCAAGCGAGGTGAATAAATACAGGCAGCAACAGCCTCTTATCATTAAATCATCTCTCCCAAAACTTTTTAAGTCTACTTTTCAAAACCTTTTGAAATCTACCTTTACGTTAAAGACTCAACTGTAGTATTTATTATAGATGACAAGACTGCAGAACACAGTCATAATTCCAAAACACAAAGCAACAACAAACGCATATTGTTTTGTTTCAATGCCTTGTGACGTCCTCCCGACATGAAAGGCACTATACCAATGGAATTTACTGTTGTTGTTTTAAAATGGTATAATTGTACTGTTTAACAGCAACTGCGAGATGCAATTTCTGACAAGTCAGTGGACTTGCGACATCAACATACAAAACAAAAGGTTTGTATACTATCCCTACCCCTTGAAATCATTCAATTTTTTTACATCCTCTGCAATCTCTACTTGCTTGTAACTAAGGCACGTTGGGAGGGAACTAACGGTTCTGTCAAAAAGTCTTAAAGCTGATGTCGAATTAGAGAAGATAAACACTTTGTCTGAGCAGTTCTGTTGTCTGGGCAGGCGTTCGCTGAAGTTAATCTTGGAATAAGATTCTTTTGTATCATTGCTGAATTTCCTTGCCATAGACTAACATCTCTTGTTCCATATTAAAATCTATACAAATTTCCTTTTTTTGAAAAAAATCCATAAATGGGTCAACATGCATTATAATGAAACTAACTGGATTTACACAAGCCTTATTGTGAGACTCAGTCTCATGGGCCCATTCTTTGCTTGTGCTCTTTGTTAATCCTTCAATTTCCTCCGATCTATAAAGTTCAGGAATAAATTTACCACAAGACTGCTCAGTTATAGACCAACCAGAAACACTATTGCAACTATAGCACAACAAAAACAGGAACAGTCAACCTGTTAAAGAAACCATCTCCATTTGGCAACCATCTGTTATCAACAACTACCCCCCCACCCCCACCAACCAATTATCCATAACAAACCACCTCTATTCAGCAACCACATGCCTAATGCAACCAATGGCCATTTTTTTTAGCCTCGTCGGTGTACAGACATCATATTCAGTGGCCAGTTCTAAGTGAAGCAAATCAGAACAGGCAGACGGGGCCCCAGTTTAATGTCTCATCCAAAGGACAGCACCTCCAACAAGGTACCCCACCTCCGACACCACCCCACCCACCCCCAACACTGAGGCAAGAGTGCTACCGACTGAACCACCCTGACACAGAAGAGATTCAACCACTAATGATGGGATGGAGTGAGACACAAGCAATGGTACTGCTCTATGTAGTTTAAGTTGCTGTGTTCCATTTTTACATTAGCAATGACTGAGAACGACCACAAATTGTTACCTTGCTCCAAGGGAGTTTCATGCCAATTATTTTCTTTATGCACAAGTGATCTGAACCTAAATTGACAGATCGGAGGAACAGTTCAGGTTATTGTCCTTTCCATCCAAGCTCACAAAACAAAAGTGACAATGTCCATGAAATAATGTACGCATTGAACTATTGTGTTTTTAAACAGCATTCTTTTAAATAGACTTTATTCCATGTTAAAAAAAGACTTGCTAAATTCCTGGGTCGTTGAATCTTGAAAGGAGCTCAGAGGTTGTTCGGCAACTGTTCTCAGTCATTCAAAATCCTCTCAAATTAAACTTTAACAGAAAAACACATACAACCAAAATGTCAACCTAATAATGTAAAAGATATAGTGTTTATCAGGCTCACCCTCTCAGTTGCACCTCACTGCTGTGTTTTATGCTATGCTACAGTGGGCAAGCAGATGCCTGGGAACAGGCATCCTGTGGCAGAGTGGTGGCGAATCAGTCGGCAATATAACAAGACAAACATGACTCCTATTTCATTTCATCATTGAGGAACCAGTGCAGAAAAGGTCTTTTTTTCCAGGTAGTCTCTTACATTTACCCATGTTAAAATCCAACTGTCATTCCTTAGCACTGGTGCCACTGTTTAGCAAGTCAAAAACACACCCTCTCTGGAGCAAGAAACACTTACAGATGGAGAAAAAAACACTTATCTTCAAATGCTCGTTTTTCATAACTTGAAACTAGGAAAGAGTTGATCCTAGCAAGAACGGACTGTATTGTAGTTTATCCCTCTGCATCTCCTCATTCCCCCTTTGGCCACTGACTGACGCTCTATCTTATCAGTGTTGAGTTAGTTAGTTCGCTACATTAAACTAAAAAGGTGACTGTTGCCAAGTGAAGAATGATTTGATCCCTTGTTGCCAAGACAGAACAATCACAATCTTATGAATATCAAGTGTACAAAACATCTTATAATGCAGAAGTAGATACTCAAGTATTTTCAATCCACAAGCTACTTAAATACTAGTCAGATATTTATAATATTTAGTTTACTGTACATACATAAAATACACTTCACAGTTGTCTTACTATATACAATGTAGCATAAAAATAACGTACAAGCTCAAAGCGCTTTGAAATTATCCGCCTGATGTGAAAGGTGCCATACAAATGTAAATTCTATTGTACTGTGTCAATACCAGTTGGAGGTTTTTTTTGGTAACTCAAGGTATCATTTAACACATTAAGTAAGCTACGCAAATCTTTAAAACCAACAATTACTCCACACGATCCCAATAGACATTTCTGGCAGGTAAAGTAAATCACATCTGCATTTGGTTACTGAGTAAATGACAGTCCATTATTACTAAACCGGTCACAAAGCCAATCAAAAGACAACTTCATGTAAATTAGTTCTATTCCTATTCAAAAAAAAATTCTGAAAGGTGTGGTAGTTAATGTCGCCTCTGGTTAACAGCCTGCAAAGCGCTGGATCAAAAAGCATATGGTACCTTTGCTAATTGTAAATGATTCTGTCATTCTTTCCCTACACATAAACTCCCCCACTCACAGTCACGGCCACCCACTCGATTTGGTGATCACCCGGGGCCTCAGTGTCTCGGATGTCACTATTACCGACAAGGCCATCTCCGACCACTACTTCATCTCCTTCACCACCTCCACCCCCCTCCCCACCTCCACCAGACCCACCACCATCTTCTACCGCCCTTGGAAGAAGTTACCCCCACAATCCCTAACCGATGCCTTGGAGTCCTCTGAACTCCTCTCCCTCTGGCCTTCAACCCTCACCGACCCCTCTTCTCCTCTCTCCCTCCTCCACAATATCCTCTCCTCCACACTCGATACTCTTGCCCCCATCACTTCCCGCACTGTCTCCTACTCCCGCTCCTCCCCCTGGTACACCACCCACCTCCGCTCACTGAAATGCCAGGTGCGGGCTGCTGAGCGCACCTTTGTCAAATCCGGCTTAACGGTCCACCGACAAATCTGGCTGGACCTCCTCAAAATTTACCGCTCCACTCTAGCCTCGGCCAAGTCGTCCTTCTACTCCAGGATAATCCTGGAGGCGAAGAACAACCCCAGGCTACTGTTTTCCACCACATCCCGACTCCTCCGTCCCCCCCGCCACCCCGCGCAGGTCATCTCCTCCAACCTTCACTGCGAGGAGATGCTGGATTTCCTTGAATCCAAGATCAAGGGAATCCGCTCCGCGGTCACTTCCCCTCCAACTTCCACCCACCACCCACCCCTTCCCTCCCACACTCCGACTCCTACCCATCCTCCCCTACACACCTTCGTACCCGTTTCCCCACCCTCTGTCACTGAACTCATCCTATCCCTAAAACCAACCACCTGCTCCCTTGACCCCATCCCCACTCCACTCCTTATCTCCCAGCTCCATTTTCTTGCCCCACACATCACTGACATCATAAACCTGTCCCTCTCCTCTGGCTCTGTCCCCATTCCATTAAAAACTGCCATCATCACGCCCACCCTGAAAAAACCCTCCCTTGATGCGTCGCAGCTATCAAGCTACCGGCCCATCTCCAACCTCCCCTTTCTCTCCAAGGTCTTGGAAAGAGTTGTCGCCTCCCAACTGCGCTCTTTCCTCTCCACCCATTCTCTTTTTGAACCCCTTCAGTCAGGTTTCCGTGCTGCTCATAGCACAGAAACTGCCCTGGTCAAGGTCACCAATGATATCCTGACCATCTGTGACCAGGGCTCCCTCTGTCTCCTCGTCCTCCTCGACCTATCGGCAGCATTCGATACGGTCGACCACGCTATCCTACTCCACCGCTTGTCCTCCCACCTCAACCTTCAAGGCACTGTCCTTGAATGGTTTAGGTCGTACCTTTCTCACCGTCTTCACTTCGTCTCAACGAATGGCTTCTCCTCCACCCCCCGTACTGTCTCATGTGGTGTCCCTCAGGGCTCTGTCCTCGGTCCCCTCCTCTTCACCCTCTATATGCTCCCCCTTGGTGACATCATCCGCAAACATGGGGTTAACTTCCACATGTATGCGGATGACACCCAACTCTACCTTTCCTCCTCTACTCTCAACTCCACGACCACCGATGTCCTGACAGCCTGCCTGTCCGACATCGAGTCCTGGACGAGAGACAACTTTCTTCAGCTCAACGTGCAAAAAACCGAGGCCCTCCTGATTGGCTCACGTCAGCGCCTCCGCACCTCAGGCGCTGACACCATCAGCATCCAAGGCTGCACT